GTATGAACGGAAATATGAATAAAGTTACATAATAAGTTACGTATTAATTAGTAATAGTTAATTGATTTCAATTTTTCGGCATTCTTTAGTTCATGATTAATAGTATTTACAAAATACTGTTAATACAATAAATTGAAATAATTGAAATTACAATTTAAGCTAAAATTAAAGCTAAGCTGTAATTAAACTTAAAATTAGAATTAAAGACTAAAACTCGAGTTAAAGATAATAAAATTAAAATTAAAGCTAATAAAGTTTCTTTTTTAAGTTAAGACTAAAAGATTAAAGTTAATAAAGTCAAGATAAAGAATAATAAAGTTACAATGTTGAAGTTAATAAAGTTTTGACAAAAGATAGTAAAGTTAAAGTTAAGCAATAAAGTCATAGCTGAGGCTAAAGCAAAAGTTAATAGATCCAAAGATATGATGGCTAAAACTAATAAAGCTGAAGGTCAATCCTCCATGTTTCTCGTGAAAATGCCATTCTGACGATTGTGGCATCCGTGGGCATCCTCGTTCGGGTGAGGGCGCTACGTATTGGTACGATAATGTTTGTACGATAATAATAGCTTTCTTCACCCTTTGTCTTATACATTCTTGTTGTAAGTGCGATGTTTGGTAGGTTTGTTTTGTTTATAAGTATTTTATATCTCTGTCATTCTAATATTCTTTTGTAAAACGAGTAATTTATTATTATTATTATTATTCTTTGATGCAAATATTTGTTTAGTTTATTTTCATATATTTAATTATTTATCAATATGTTTAAGAATGCTAATTTGGTAGAACTTACGGCGTACCTTATATACGGTTCCGTATATTAACTATGTATACGTGTAACTATGTATACGTCAAATAGGACCCCTGATGTAAACTTAGCATTTCCTCCACCATTAAGAAAATGTTCGGTTGTTTTGACATAGATAGTGGTTCTTGAAGCGATCTATTATAATTAAACGCACCTAATATTTTCCAACTTTTAAATAACTGAAATACTCGATTAATTGTGAGTTTTTTACTTCTGATTGTTTTACGACATGTTATAATTGTTTTCAACGCGGTAATGTATGCTTTTTTTTTAAATTAAAGATACAATTTTAAAAAAGTTTATAATAATTAATTGAAACTCTGATATTGTTCACTGTATTTCATACTGTTTATCGCATTGCTGATAATGATAATTCATAATATCTGTAAGCGCTTCTCTGCGTAATCTTTCCACTCCTTCAGCGTTTTTTCGCCATATAAATTATATTGGAAGTATACATGTATAATGCTTTATCCTTTTTCATTCCTCTTCTCCTTTCTGTTTATCCAAGGATTCCTTTATGTCATACCAATTTGTGATACATGTGCATTCATAATACATCTAATTACAGTATTAGTGTAATTCTGAAAACTCGAAGTACTCTAAGATCAAACATTAGTTACGGTATCATTAAATGCTTTCTCGCTCTTGGCGATAACTATTTCCAAATTAAATATATCGCATCTCGACTATTCATACACATCTTGACTATTAAGTCCGGCAACATTGCTCTGGAGCTGTCTATCAGTTTGACATTTTATCAATTTTATCACATTTATCAAGTCCAAGTAAATGTTTGACATGAAAGATTAAACCATAAGATTCAAAAGTCAGTAATAGACATGATGTCAAATTAATATAAATCATTGGATGGATGTTGGATACTATAATATTAATATTACTAATTAATTATTAGTTAGTTATGCTAGAATCTTACTTGCTTTAGAATTGAAGTATATTGAAACAATAGTGAGAGTAAGTAAAACAGTAGGTAATGCAAGAATTCAATTAAGTAAATTGAATCGATCAATTTAGGAATTTAAGGCCCAGCTCATGAACTATTCTCTAAATTGAGTGAAATAGGAAAGAGTTTTATTTGTAAAGTCGTGGAAATGTTATAACAAATTATATATATGAAAAAAGTAGTTAAAATATTAAAAATAAATATTTTTTATTGGCTACTTTTCAAAAATATAATGTATTTGTTAGTTGGTAATTCGAAAAGAAAGAAAGGGAGGGAGGGAGGGATCCAAGAAGGCATCAACAGTGAACTATATACTACACTGGAATGTGAATTCTTCTACTCTAGAAGAAAACGGGACGAAAGAAGTGAAGAACTATTACCAGCCCAGTCTTTTTTATTGGTGTAATCTTCGGGAACAATAGAAAATCGTTGACCAATGAAAATTCGCTAAACAGACAAAAATGGTTCCTAATCATCCCGTCTTTTTCTTCTTGCGGCCTGGGTGCTAAGCATGGCAGTTTACATTTCAGTGTAGCATATAGTTATTCACCAGAGAACATATACCCTACGTTCATACATAGGTATCCTACGTATCGTACTAAGTATGATATGTACTTTGGTTTCATACATATGTGTACGTATTATACGTCACATAACCTTAATATATATGCTTTGTTTAGAACATTTTAACTACAGATACATTTTTTTTTATAATTAAAGTTTAATTTGAAAGATGACAGTATGTGACTATATTGAAAATTGATTAGAAAATTATCAGATGCATAATCAGATTGGCCCATATAAGTGCTTTAAAATTAAATCCACACGAAAGCAAAAATATATTACAGCTAATGACTGAAATTACTGTATACTAAACACATATTACACTTACATTTTCAGTATTACTTCTTTTTGTTTTTTATTTACAGACTGTATATTCAATAGGTCTGTTCTTTGTGGCTGAACTAGTGTACAGTGTACACTTGTACTTAAAATGAAATATAGATATATCTATATTTAAAGTTTGACGAAAGCGGGATAAAAAGTTTTAGTGCAATCCAGTGCAGCCACAAAGAACAGGCCTGATAATAAAACTGATGAACTTATTTCGAATATAGTAAACAAATACAATAACCGTATGGCTATACTATGTGGTTTTACTGTGGTTTAAAAAATATATTTTAATGTAACCAATAATTAAACTAATTCCTTAAAAAATCAAAAAGTGATTTGAGGTTAGGGTTAATGTCAGAAGTATCGTACATAGTTTGATACGTATCCTACGTATGATAAGCAATCATACGTATGAAACTTCTAGAATGCGTATAAAATCCAACTCTGTTATAGAATAAGCAAATAGCGCTAATAGCGCGCTCTCCGAACGCAGCCTTATGCTAAGACTCCATAGATGCGGAAACGCCGTGCGGTAGAGTGCGTTGACCAATCAGAAGGCTGCCGCAAGTCGCCTGCGGCAAAATCAAAATTTGTGATTGGTCAACGCACTCTGCCGCATGGCGTTTCCACGTCTATGGAGTCTTAGCATTAGTTGACTGAGCATCAATGGTCGCGTTCAGCAGACAACTGTTGCACAACTGTTGAGTTCGTCTTATTAACACTACGCGTTGATTGGTTGGTTCTAATGATTCTAAAAGTAAGAGTCAATCACGTTCGACTGCTACTCAGCGGCTTGGTCTGCTGAACGCGGCCAATGACTGATAGCTTTCTGTACATTTCTTAGTGTAACAATAATAACGTATAATATAGTAATATAGTAATATTACGTGATACAATATTATGTGTGATAGCAGTAATAATACATATTATGATAATATATTACATAAAGTAGCAAAATTGTAGTAATTGTATTATATTAATTAGTATAGCATGTATTAGTATGTTGCGTATTGTATAAAAAGATATATATCAATAATAAAAACATGAAAGTATCTCGTCAAATTGATCGATTTCCAATCACTGCCTTGATAACATTCGTGTCGATGGCTGGCGCACATGGCCATGATGATTGAAAAACCTATGGTACACTCCCTTGCTGTTCGTTTGCACTTGTCTTACTTGAATATATATATTTCGATAATCAACGCTAAGAAAAAAAAATCAGATGACGAAACGCACAAGAAGTGAAACTATTGTGAGCGTAACATTATGATGATTAGTTTTCAATACCATCGCTCAGAGAGGATGAGAGTGGTCCTGTCCGCGTTTTGACTGTTAAGGGGATGCTGGAGACAGGTCTGTTTTACCACGAAATTTTCAGACACACAAATCTTTTGATTGATTTCACCGAATTAAAAATTTTTTGTCCAGAATTAAAGTATGGACGATAACGAAGACGGCAGGCACCAATTGCGTATGAAAAACGAAAAAAAATTAGAAAATTACATTTTTATTTTCGATTCTGCGGTCGACTCATGACAACATTTGCTGCAGATAAAAGTTTTAGACTGTGTACGTATACAAAAACCTTGCAGCCGTCACGGAAATACAATAAAGAAGAATCCTGTGCTTGCAGAAATGAGCTGCGAACTTTAGTATAAGAGAAAAGTATGTTAGAAAATTTCATATGCACATGTTACGCGTCTCCCCGAATTCAGCCAAAAACTCTGCGCTCTGTATGTATGTGTAAGAATCGGTGAGCACTTTTTTATCGACGCTGGTCGAGTTTGCCTGCGCTCTGTATGTATATGTAAGAATCGGTGAGCACTTCTTTATTGACGCTGATCGAGTTCGCCCGCGACTCCAGCATCCCCTTAAATACTGAATCCTGTAGGTAATGTGCACGATTTTGTGGTTCTCTTCCGTACTATGTCCACGAGTTTTTGATTTTGTTCGGAAAAAAAATGTGAACCTAACGGAAGAGAACCAAAAAATCGTGAACATAGCACGGAAGAGAACCACAAAATCGTGCACATTACCTACAAGATTCGGTAACAGCCAAAACGCGGGCATGACCACTCTCATCCTTCTCTCTGCCATCGCTGCTGCTGCTGCTACCGTTATTGTTGTTAATTAACTGCTGCCGCCGCCGCCGCCGCCGTCGTCGCCGTCGCCGAAAACGGATTGGAAACAGATCTACCTACTTGCTCCGCGCGCGCGCTTACCCGCTCACTCACTTAACTTGAAGAAGGCGCCCTCGCTATTAACGCTACCAAAAACATTAGCTCCAGCGCCTCGAGCGAGCGAGCGAGCGAGCGAGCGAGCGCCGCTGTGGCGTGGCGTGCCGTGCCGTGCCGCATCTGCGAGCGCCTCCTCCTCTCCGCGTTGGTGCTTGCGGTGTTCGGTGCCTCGGTTTTTGCCCGTTTCCATCGCGTTTTCGCGGGGCCGTTCCCGCGCCTTAAGTGCCACGCTTACGTTCCGGTCATCGTCGCGCTCCTGCCCGAAATCGAAGTCGAGGAGGCTGGAGTCCAAATTCCGCGTCAGTCGGTCAGCCAGCGGGACGCGCTATTGGCACTGCGCAGGTTAAGCCGGCGCGTTTCAAGGTAACCTAAAAAGTCGCGAAGCGGCGGCGGCGGTGGCGGCTACCGACTCGAGCACGCCGCTCGAGCAAAAGTGACGCTTTCTTTGTAGCCTCGTGTGTTTTTGGGAACGTGTTCGATGCGTTCGCGAATAGATCGTATTTAAGTTCGGTTAAAATAGTCATAGGAACGATGTGAGATCGCGGATATGCGAGGCAATGTGAGGTAACGTCTTACATCGTTTCGATGGACGCTATGGCCGAGTCTAATCTATTTCCACGCGAATGACATTGCCAGTGTTTGTCTGTGCGGTAGCATCCAATTCTGCTTTCGTTTATGTGGCTTTTTCCGTGAACAAGTTGATTGCAAATGTGACGAAATTCTATAGTTCGTTTTAAACTAATATATTTGCAAAGGAACCACTTAATATCGCATATAAAGTATTATGTAGTAACGTAATTGGGATCTGTGCCTCTGTATAAGACGCACAAATGTCATTTGCAATAAAATACAAAAAAAATCTGGTGAATTATTAATAAGCATCACGATATTACAGTATTTCGGAGGAAATGTAGGGATATACTTGATACACAATTTTTATTTAGTTGAACATCACGTAACAAATTGTAAACAAGTAATTATATAATTAATTAAAATAGACTATTATTATTTGTATAAAGAGCCAGCGAGCCAGTTATTACCAATGTAATAACATAATCTTATAATTATATATAAATACATAAATGTGTATATCCTGAAGCACAATATAGAGATCATAACGATAAAACTGTTACTATAATAAGAGTTATACAAGTAAGAGAATGAAAAAGATTTGAATGAAGAAATTTTTTAAGTGCTAATACGATAGACAAAAGCTCAGTCAAGCAACCAAGTTGTTTACTTGATCATAGAACTGTTTACATATATATATAATGCTTATAAATGATAAAAAGTCAATTATAATCAACTTACAACTTTATAAACATGTATTTGAGATACGTAATTCTGATAACAAAGGAAATATTTTGTTTAACATACCTATTTTCTGTTTTTTTCCTTAATTAATGGTATTTTTTTCTGATAAATTTTAGGAGACGGTGTTCATCGAGCCGTGATGCATTGGAGATTCAGCGGTTTTTGCCCGAAGACCGACCAGAAGTTAGTGTTGCAAAAGCAGTTTGTGTGACAAAGCTTAAAAAACAACGAGAGTGCTAAAACGTTATACTAGTTGGACTAGAAGAGGCATCTCCGCTGCGAGTGTCTTGTCAAGATAGATTCTGTCGTCTTCTACTGTTTGTTGGAGCAGAAGGGGAAGGGAAGCGGTCGTAATTTCTTTTTCTAGTGACACTGAGAGCGCACAGTGAAAACAATAAAAATAGGGGGGGCGGTCTGCTGACCGATGGACAAACGGAAGATGATGCCCAAACGCCCTCGTATGGAGAATCTGAGAGGTCCGATTGCCAACGGACCGATCCAAACGCGGCCACTGGTTGCACTTCTCGATGGTCGTGATTGTTCTATCGAAATGCCCATCCTCAAAGACGTCGCAACTGTTGCCTTTTGCGATGCACAGTCCACTTCAGAAATACATGAAAAGGTAATTAAAATACATTTACAATTATAATAAAATAAAATTATTAGAAAAGTATGATAAAGAGTATTAGAGAATCTATAGTAAGGAATTATTAGAATTAAAATATCTTTATTAAAATGTTAAGCTTAAGATATCAAAATATTAGGGTAAAACATAAAATGTCATAGATAATAAAACTCAAGTTGAATTGTTTTAAAAGAATTTTTTGTTGTTTATGATATATTGATACAAAAACATTTTTGTAGAGTAATTAAATTTTAATAATTTCTAAAATATTTCATGCCTTATATTGATATTCCATATTTTTCCTATTTTTTTTACTTTGTCTCTGATTTAAAATACACATTTATGCACGTACTTGGTACAATGTGTAAAAGAGCGATGATTTGATAAATAATATACTAGTTCTCTCTTGTTGAAGTAAATCTGTTTCGATGTATAAAACATCTTCATGTCATATTTAAGGATGTTTTACTCTTTATTTTAAATACTTGTCAATCTAATGAATGAAATAGTGTATATAACTTTAAAATTAGATAAAATGTTCCATAAAGTGCACAACTTGGTCCAACAATAGTGCATTTTCTTTATATCCTACGTTTATGTTCTTCGTTATTTTTTTTCGAGTACTTCTTTTTTAAATTATTTTAATTGCAAAAAATATTTACATGGTAAATTAGTTTCTATTTATTTTATATTTGAACATTTTTTATTTAGTATTTTACAGTTATTAAAATATTTTTAAAAACTAAAAGTATTGATTTTATTCATGTCTGGTCATATCTACTTGATTATATTTAAAGGTTATATTTAATATTTTTATTTAATATTTTTAATATTATATTTAGTACGTTTTAGAAATCTGTAATTTAGTAAATTTTATTTAGTGTCTAATACTTTCCGTATTGTTATTTTCTATAGTATAATATATTTAATATATTGACGTACATTTGATATCTGATACGTAATATTTTATTTTCTGAAATTTATTTTATGCAACTGTGAAAAAAAAAACATGCTGTATTTGGAAATAAATGTAATGTGTATTCACAGGTATTAAATGAAGCAGTGGGTGCATTGATGTGGCACACAATAATTCTGACGAAAGAGGATTTGGAAAAGTTTAAAACACTTCGAATCATCGTTCGGATCGGTTCTGGTGTAGATAACATCGACGTCAAGGCAGCTGGCGAGCTTGGCATTGCGGTGTGTAATGTGCCTGGCTATGGAGTTGAAGAAGTGGCTGACACTACCCTTTGTCTCATCTTAAATCTTTATCGGCGCACTTATTGGCTTGCCAATATGGTGCGCGAAGGCAAGAAGTTCACAGGACCAGAACAGGTAAATCTTTATTTCTAAGAGTATTATGTTATATATTAAAAATTAATAATAAGATAATAAATTAATAAAATATTAGAAAACTATAATATTAAGGTAATATTGAAATTATTTTATTCTATTAAAATTGTATTATTGCTGTCATAAATTGTATTGTTATGTTGTAATGGATTTATATCATTTATAATATATATAGTATAAATACTATAAATTATATTTACATTTGTTTTATATAAGAATGTTATATTGTTGATTTATTATATTATGTTATTACGATTACTTATTATATTAGAGATATCATATATACTACTAGGTGTACTATTAAACTATAAGCATACTGCAATTATTAGATCTGGATTATATCGTTGCTTGAAATATAATATTGCTTAAAATGGCTTGACAATTTTTTGTATAACATTGAATTTTTTTACGCATTTTGTTTGACGCGTGTATTTTAGGTGAGAGAAGCGGCAACTGGCTGCGCAAGGATACGGGGCGACACATTGGGTATTGTTGGCCTCGGTAGGATTGGTTCTGCAGTTGCGCTGCGTGCCAAAGCTTTTGGCTTTACCGTCATCTTTTATGATCCTTATCTACCGGATGGTATCGAAAAATCACTAGGTCTCACCAGGGTTTACACATTACAGGTTTGTCTCTCTGCTTATGTTTATTACAAAGCCATAAGTTAGTTTTAGGCACTATTGCTATTTCATCCATTTGAAAGTCTAAACGTCTTGACATAATATTGTAACGATTTATTAAAGGATTTATTTATGCGCGTTGCGTATGTTCTGTGTATTTTATATTTATGGTCTATAATTAAGTCTGTTATTAAGAAAATTAATTTATTATTAAGAAAATTAACATAAACAATTTTGTAACTTGCCAGTGATAATTAACGAATATATTTCAATTGTATCGACTTAACTGGCTAATATTCAGTATACAATCGCGACGTTTCAGCCTTTGATTTGGACCCTTTTCAAGTGTAAATTAAATCATCTGTCAGAATCGTCGTTGAAATCACAAGACATCCGTAATGTATGAAATTATTCCAGAAAGATCATAAAAGATGTCTTTTGTGATCTTTCTGGAATAATTTTATTTCAATTGTATCGACTTAACTGGCTAATATTCAGCATAAAATCAAGGGTTGAAACGTCGTGATATTTGAAATATATAAGAAAATTAACATTACGTTTATTTAAAAATACGTTCTGGAAATTTTACAAATAGGATATTATGACAAATTTATAGGTTTCTGAATAAAGCATGAATTTCTTGAGTATTTAAACAATGATTAGTAATTATTCAATTGATTTAGATATTATTCAAATATTGATTTTAGATGTTATATGTGCAAATATAAAAATATTTTTTAATACAACATTTTAAACTATACAGGATGTTTCTTAAATATTGTCCAATATTTTAAGAGTTGGTTTTTGAAGAGATTTTAGGGGAACTGTACCTAATATCGCCCTTGTTCCTAATTCCGCATCATACGATATTGAGACTGCTACATGTTACATTCTATCAGTGAGCAGCGGAAGCTGTTGAACAACCGCTGCTTTAGACGATCTTTTGTTTTATTTTAGTCAGAATTGTGATATAAAAAGTAGCGTGACAGTTCATAGTTTTAACGAGATTTCGAAACTTCACAAGAGGTGTTTTATGTTAAAGTGTACGAAACAATTTTTTATTTTTTAAATGGCGGCGCTGGAGTCTTGTAAACGTAAGTGTTTTATGGCGGGAAGTGCTTCGGGGCTTGCAGCATAAGTGACGCAAATTTTGACCTTGAATATAAAACCAAAATTTTTCATAATTTGCATGATAATAGCTAGAGAAATACGTAGGGGATTTTTTAAATATTGTTTTTTATAGAAATGGCAAGCATTAAAAAAAAAAGTTGTTTGAAAGTTTTAATTAACTTTTTTTCACATGCTTGCCATTTCTATGAAATGTTTATTATACCGCCCATTTTTCCTATATATATAACTGGTCTTTTTCTAGAATACCTCTGAAGCTCCCTCAGCCTCCTGTCCAATGAGTAACAAGATCTTTTTCCAAAAGTAAATCGGCCAGGCAAGATGCTGACCACTCAAGTGAAAGAAACTTTAACACGAGTATACTGAAATTATAAAAATCTGCAAGAAAAATTTGATTCTGTCCATTGGCTTATGAGATCGGAGCAGTAACATACTATATAAACCTCATTTCTATGCTATTAACGTTTTATAAAACGGCAACTATAAATAAAAAAGGAAGATAACCATGTTTATTTACTAGTTCGAGTTCGAAAAAGAAACCTCTTTTCGTTTAAGAGCTATGAAGAAAAGAAGATAATTTTATTGAATTTTTTACAATCTATATTTTCAAAACGAGGTTTTTGAAAATTATATGTTTGTATAAACCTTTCAGTAATAAAATGACCTCCAAAATCAATTCTTAAAATATTGGACAGTACTTAAGAAACATTCGGTATACAATATCATAAAAATTTTTTAGTCATAAAATTCTTGATAACTATTAATTTATTTTCTAACTGATATTATTTTTTATTATGTTTCAGGATTTGCTGTTCCAATCAGATTGTGTATCTCTGCATTGTACCTTGAATGAACACAATCATCATTTAATAAATGAATATACTATTAAACAGGTATATTAAAAATTATGAGACATAAAAATTTTATTTAATATACATATAATATAGGGATTATTGATACAATTTAAGTGTAGTTTTTAATTTTGATTCTACAAAAAAATCAATGATTACAAATGAGATCCAGACTGTTTTTTTAGATTTATCTCTTATTTATTTATTTTACTATTGAGGTGCATAAGTATACCTATAGAAATATAATGCATTCCAATTTTCTGTACTATAATTTTATGAAACAATCGTGATATATATATCGTATAGAATTAATTTTATTTGATTAAAATGATAATAAAAGGTTAAACATATGATTATATAATTACAATTTTTTAACGTTGCGATTTTAATAATACAAGGTAACACAATAATGTAATTTCTATGTTATATTACAAGAAAAAATCGCATGTTTGTTTCAGATGAGACCAGGAGCATTTTTAGTCAATACAGCACGAGGTGGTTTGGTGGATGACGACGCGCTGGCCGCGGCGCTCAAACAGGGTAGAATTCGCGCGGCAGCGCTAGACGTCCATGAAAATGAACCGTACAACGTCTTTCAGGGTCAGTCTGCGAATCAGTGTGAGTCTTATCTGTCCCCGTGCCTAACCCTGTCTCGACTGACTATCTAAAACCGTCCTGAATTCCTTCCATAATAAAACAGAGAAGATAAAACTGATGAGCTTTGTTCAAATAGAGAAACACAACGAAGATGTATATTTTATGGTGAAAATAATATTTTATGAAATTTATATTAATTTTATATAATATACATATGTAACATATACAGGGTGTCCAAAAAATCGCCTACTCCACTTCGGGAGGTGATTCAGGACCCAAAAACAAGTAAAAAAGTTCATACAAACATAGGTCCGGAAATGAGCCGTTTCCGAGTTATAGCCACTTTTATGTTCAAAAATCGTAATTTAGAATCCGCTTGGCATCCCTCTTTTTTAATTATTTCTTTAAATTAAAAATTTTTATTTTTAAATATTTTTAATTTTTTTATTTTTTTTTAATTTTTTTATTTTTTTTTAATTTTTCAATATTTGTAAATACGATTACATTATTTTTAAAAGAAATCAGTTGTTTTCACGGCTA